TTCTAATTGTTTATAAGTATAAAAATTCGACCAATGTTTAAACAAGCGCCAGAGCTCCTAATTGACGGATTCGAATTTTTCAAAAAAAGTTTGAACGCTTGAGAGCCCTTCTATATGTGATTCAATTTTCAAGTGTCCAAGAGCCTTGGTTTTTGCTGTGCAAAATTTTGAAAATTTGCAATATTTTTTTCAAAATCTGAATTGCAAAATTATTATGCAAAATCTATCAAACCGATTTTGAAGAAATTTGGTACATAACATAGAGTTTTCTTGAGCCAAGTATGAAAGTCCTATACCCAACTTAAAGACCCCAAAAAAATTCCCTAAAAAGTAATGTTTTTTAACCCCATATTTGAAGATTTTTTCGATTTTTACAATAATGATTCATTCGATTCGTAATTAGTCATATTCTGTAAAAAATTTAATTACAAACATTTTTTTCCTCTTCTATTTTCGCCTAAAATCAACTCTTGCAAAGATACATAATTAAATAGGAAGAAAAATATGACATTTTTCGAATTTTTTAAAGATATTGTGCCGCCAAAAGTTAAGCCCACGTTTTTTTTATGCGCATAGAAAAATTTTCGTTTCTAGTGATATTTGAAAGCCAAAAAGCCAAAAATCTCCGTGGATATACTATTCACCCAAATATGGCCTTTTTGAAACAGATACCGTCTGGACTATTTGGACACAATGACGTCCCAGCAATTTTTGTCGCAAATATTAAGTAAATAAGTATTTCAAATAAACTTACATTGCCGATTTCCTTAATTCTTGAATGTACTCAAAATTGGGTGTAAGTTTTCCGTTACTCGCTATAATGGCCTGTAAATAAAAAAAATGTGTGGAATATACGAAAAAGTTAAAAATGTATTATAAATAATAGAACATATATACCTAAAACTTACTGTCCGTGGTGTACAAATAATACTCTTATCTTTAATTAAAGTAAAATGAATAAAATAAATGTAACATTTTATCTCGTAACATAAATGATATCAAGAGATTACAGAATAGCATATGCTTGTTTGTTTTTAAGTGAAGGTGATTTACTATACAGGGTGAATATCTATCTAAACATTTTAAATTGTTCTGGAATTTGTTGTGAGCCCAGCAATGTATTTTTTCATACTAAACTAAACTAAATTTTGTGTAATGTATCTCTCGTACTAAATAATGTATAAATTTTACCGATATTTTTTGTGGTACGTATTAATGATGGTGGACTGACGTATTTGTGCCAATTTGTTATTTTCGTAGGCGGTGATTTTCTTTTAAGTGACATAAATACAGTAAAGGTGTCACAATCTAGCAGATTTGTTGTTGAATTTGAAATTGTACAAAATCATCGTTCATAAAACTTCACTATTATGTAAATAGAAATAATTTATCAGTCAGAACAGAAATGGAAAAGAGCTTAAAGATTCAAAATAGATATTGGTATCGGTATAGTTGTGTGCTAAAAAATACATTACCCCGTGCACTACAGAAGAGAAGTTATGCTTCTCCAAAGGTTCCTGAGCATCACTCTGCAAGATATCCGTTATAAACGGATACAATAGATCTCCAAAAAAGTCGGTACTCTCCCTTGGAATCTGGGTGGGCATATTATCGATACTACAGACTAACACACCCGGTCCGCTGAAGCTATTCGTGTCTTTGTTCCTGTCGGCGTCGTAAAGGCAGAAAGGGGTGTCTATGGTCGTACATTCGTTCATAAACTCAATCGAACCACCGGGATCAGCGGAAATATCGCATATAGCCAACATCCTGTGCGGCAAAGCCGGCGCTCCGAAGGAAGTTGGGAGCCAAGGGGTATGCGCCGGTCTCAGCAAGTGTTTGGCGTCGGGAATCGTGAGGAGTTTAGGGCTGTTGACAGCCCAGTAAATACCGTTGATGATGACAGAAGCGTACGGCGCGATCTTCTTGCTGAAAGTCGAAATGTATCGTTCAGGATGTTCTTCGTATTCGACAGGGTCAAAACCACCACCCTCGGCTCTTTCCAAGTAGTGCCTTCTCCGGACCTCGCAACCGTAGACCTTATTCAAGCTTCCATGCTCCGCTGCTTTCTTCAAAAGTTCGGGCGTGACGTATTCATGAGGCAGCTCGTGGAACACCTCTTGGGAGCCTTGAGAAACATTGCCGGAACCAGTGAAGACAAAAGTCAAAGGCCCGATAGATTTTGGCATGAGACCCAAGGCAATCTCGTAACCGGCATCTCTAACGGCTTGTCTTGCCATGCTGGAGTTTCTGTAGTTGTGCGCTGGCCCTATGTGCATGAAAGGCGTGTGATGTCCAAGGGCCAAAAGCCTCAACCCAAGCCCGTGAAGGATGTTCACCGAACCAGCTATACCGGCCATCTTTCCGAAAGCCACAACTCGTTGCCCCTTTTCGTCCATTAGTTTCTCGTAGTCAATGAGTCGAATACGCTTTTCGAGTATCGCGTCTAGTAAGGGAAGGTTCGTTTCCTGGGCTTTGATCGTGTGGGAAAATATGCAGTAAGTTTTGTCTGGTATTAGCTGGTCCACTGGTACTTGTTTCACACCGAAAATGACGCTAGCTTCGGATATGTCTTCTTGGACTATGGCTCCTGCGTTTAGATAAGATTGCATGGGGTAAGACCTTCTGTTGCTAGGCTGAACGATGACTTTCACGCCTTTCTTGACCAATTTGCGTATGTGGCTGGGCGAAAACGGTGCCCTCCTTTCCCAAATACTTTGGTCTTCTCTTCGAATAGCTATGATCTTGTTTTTCGTAGTGGCCTGGAACAAGACGAGATTTATTCGCTCATACAGCCTTACGATAAGTTTCTACTTTCTTAAAGTTACAATTTTTGTGCAATTTGAGATGTCCTCACAGAAAACTATTCTCAATATGTTTGTATTTATGATAAATTATATTATTGACACATGGGAATTTATATTTATAGCAACGTTAATAACAACATTTGGTATCACCGAGATATTTCTGGATTACTTAACTATGGAAATATTTATATGTGGTTAAGAATAAACATAATTATCTTCATATTTCACAATATCCATTCTTTGATGGTTACGATCATGTGAAATGTAAAAAAAATAACAAAGTAGTTTTGACCACTTTTTTGATCGGCAATCGTAATAAATTTGATAATGAGTAAAGATGAAATTCAAATTTCCTAAATCTATTACGATATAACAATTACAAAATATAATAATAAATATGATATTATCGATAATGTTATTGTTCTTTATTATACATAGTGTTTAATTTAGAAAGTAGGTATCATAATAGCACAGATTTCTTTGATGTGTTGTCTTTGGTAGTAATTGTTATAATAATAGCGATAATTTTTTCAATTAACGTGCTTTTTTCATGATAAATAAAATCTATATTTTTCAAACGACTGGTAAATATCTAGGTAGCTATGAAAAAGTGTATCCTACGCAGTTCATTTTATTTGTTTAAAAAATCGTCTGTATACTGGGAATTCAAAAATTCGAAAAAAATAACAATATTTGGCTTATAGCTGTTTTACATTGACAATTTATTGATGAATAAATTGACGGAGTTCTTCATGAATTAATTCACGAATTTATTGGTAAACAGTGTGGTTTTACACTGCTACAGACTTTATTAAGTTTTTTGACGCGTGAATCAGTCCTACCAACGAATCAAAGAAGCAAATAAAATTAAAAAATGTCACCTTTCCACTCATAATTGTAGTGATACAACAGCGGTACCGTTTTGACACGTTACCGTATATCGTTATATAAATATTAGCGTTTGTAAGTAACAAATCAGTAAAAACAATGCAAAACTAGTACGACGCCACACAATTATTTACATATTCCTATAACATAACCTCATTACTGATCTGAGGGTGGAAATCTGTTGGATCGGTACTTCCAAACTTCACGAAGAAATTGACGAAAATTATAACATGCTCTAATTCGTCAAGAACTTGATGAATAAATTCAAGAAGTTATTTGACAGCAGATTTGGTGCATTACACTTGTCCAATTTCTTGATGAAGCGACTTCATGAATTAATTGATCGATAAATTGTCAATGTAAAACAGCTATTAATAATTTTATTTGAACCTTGGCAAAATGTTCCATTGAACTCTGGGTCACTTTTATTGAAATACATTATGTGTAAACACTATTTCTAGGTTAATCTTATACGGATGAAGTAATTTGTTTTATTTCAAAATCCATTGACATTTCTGTAAAAATGTTTTTAAATACGAATAGTTATTTTTGATGCTAGATGGCGAAGTACTACTTTTGCATTCGAGAATGCAAAAGAATTTCGCAGTCGAATATCAAACAACATTGTTTCGAGAACTGTATACTAGTCCAAAAATTATTTAAAATGCGAAGAAATAATTTTGACATTAAAAATTATTAATTTATTTATGTACTGCACATATTTTAATACCAAATATTCTTTGATTACCTGTTAAATTGATTTATAATTAAATTATTGTTATAATTTGTTAATAATAACAAATAAACTGGTAAACTTCTATCATCAAAAAAACTGTTGTTTTCACACTTAATAAATATAATGCAAAAATCAATTTTTAACGACAGTTTTCGAAAAAAGTATTTTTTTTTTCATTCTGCTCCATTCTGTTCTATTTCATGTATGATTTTTTTTTTAATATCGCCTTTCACTTTTTTACTTACATAATCCCTAAGCCCAATCTTTTCTCTTTTCAAAAAACAACTGCGCACCTTCAACATCTTTAATTTTTCCACAAATTTGGCGCACAAATACTTTAATTTATCCACTTTCTCAATAATATTAAACTTTTTATTTCATCAATTTCTTTTTCAGTCCAAAGACCAGGGCTCGTTTGTTGATATTTCCCACGAAGACAGTCAGCATCTTAGATGAACTGATTGACTTTCCATCAGCATTTCAATACTTATAAGCTTTTATCAGAGCTGTTGCAGTCTGTCATAACATTAATAAAAAAAGTCGGAACTTATCTCATAACCTCTGCCCTTATTTTTTACTTTGTCTAACGTTTATGTATTGCAGTATCGGGATCAATGAAACATTGGCTTGCTTCAGTTAATTTAAAATTTTCCATTGCTAACAAAAAAGTTTCTATTTCAGTTATGCTGGCTTAAATTTTTAAATATGTCGCATAAATCTAAGGCTGCCTATATAATTATTTAATTTTCTCTATAGCAAATGCTGAAGTGCGTTTTGTACAACACATTTCGTGTGGGTCATTGTTTAATTTGTCTATTGTTATACAATTTATGATTGTCTAAAAGAAAATAAATTAATTTGAATTTGAAGTAAACAATATTTTGAAATTTCCTGAAACGATTATTACTCTCAATTATAATTGTATATAATTTTAAAAAACCTTGACTTGACGGACAATAGCCAGTAAGTTGCAAACTAAACTTCAATTTCTTGCATTTGCAGTAATAACATACAATTACTCTTTAAAAGAAGTTTTACTTTGTCAGTCTTTCACTTTGTTCTATTTCAAAAGAATTATAACAGTACAAGAATACTATAAAGTGGACCTTAAAGTATAGAAGGATCTTATAGAAAAGAATATCAACATGTATCTTACGATTTTGCTGCTGGTAATCTCAAATATTGAAATTGTTAAAAGTTCCAATATAACCGTCGTACCATTACATCTTATTCCCTTTCGATATTATTCTAATAAAGACGTTTTCCTAAAACCCGAAGTGTCAACAGAATCATCAGATTCTGTTGATGGACTAAATAATGGTTACACAACTGAACTGGTGAAGGAGATGGATGAAAAGAATACGAACGCAAAAATAACGAAAAAGAAATCGAATCGCGAACGAGTTAAATTGACCATGAAACAGGGACTCCTACTGAATCAAATATTAAACGTATACGCTTTGGGAAATGTAGAAAATCAACTGTGCAAGAATCACACAAAGCAGTTTAAAATTGGTTTAAGAGCTTTTGAACCATGGGCATTACAAAGTAAGTGTTACTTGTTGTTTTAGATATAAATTAGCTTTTGGAAATCAATTTTCAGTGTTTGATTCATCTTCCAAACTACAAGCTGGTGTATTACTAGGAAACCTAGTAGACTATGGGTCTTTTATCCAATGTCTCAAAATTTACAAAAATACAGAATTCGGTCCAATTTACGGCAAACATTGCTTACTTAGAATGAAAGCAAGCAAGCAGCTGATGCAAAAGATATTGTCTTTCCATAATATTTCCGAAAAGGTAAGCAACAGTACAACATTGAAGTAATATGATATTTTTCACATTAACCGATATTATATGTACATTTTTACTATACCCAAATTTGGATCCGAGCTATTCAAGTTTTATTATTACACAGATTATTCTGTAGATTCAAGTAAATTTGGTGGTAGTGATAACATATATTTTTTTGCAGCGGTTTGAGAAAGTCTATGTAAGTGTTGAAAAATCTTATCCAGGATGGTCGGTTTGTGTGCCACATTCTTGCCCAAGAGAGGACATTTTACGACATTTTAATAAAACTATAATGGAAATGGCAGAGGGTTTAGATATTGCCATTAGCCTGAATGAAAGACATTGCCACAGCGTGTTGAACCAACCAGTGATGGGGAAGACACAATATATTGTTTTGTGAGGAATATTTTTTTTATAGATTTATAAAAGTTATTTATTTGAGGTTGTGAAACATCGCTTTTGTATTCAAAAATGGACAGTTTTTTTGGGAGCATCAGTGAATAAGAAAAAACATCTAACAATATTTTTCCGAGAAATTTTCCGATATTAAATTCGAGCTAAATTGGCGAAAAGGGGGGAAAAATTGATATTTGCCATGAAGTAATTAAGAAAAGTTTAACCAAATGAAAAAAGAAGACAATTGACATTATGTATAAAGACATAAGTACTATAAGACGGAATAAAATAAAAATCTATATAACATACAAGATTTGAATAGTATTTGCTAAACAAGCATTTAGGCCCATTATTATAGCTTTTTTTCGGGGAAAAAATACTATTAGAAGTTTTTTTGCGAAATATTGTTCAGAAATGTGTTATAAACAAAATATCAAAAAATCAACTCGAGACTAGTTGGGAAACTTTGTTAAAACAATGGTCAAAGTTATGGAAAAGTGGGTTTTAGACTCGCGTAAAAAACTGTTATTCATAGCGAAAAAAAGTTTATACAAAAAGGGTAAGTATTATAATCTCTAAAATAAGACAAGTCCGATTAAATTCCGATAATTTGTTTATGCGCAAGAGCTCAAAAATGGTCGAAAATGGTCGTTTTTTTCAATTTCTATAATAATTAATGCAATTTTTATCGCAGACACTTATAATTCAGGATTTTTGAGGCTATTTGCACCCTTAATAAGTGGTAAAAAAAAAATTCAGCCCAAAAGCTTCATTAGTTGGCGGAATTTGTTATCTAAGAAGATGCTATTTTCAACTGAGTTTTCCCAAGCTCAAAGGCGTTGTAGAGTTTCGATCATTAGTTGTTTTTGTACCTAAATAGTTGTATTGACATATGAATTTACTGAGAATTTAATTTTTCAAATTTAATTTGTTTAAAAATTACTTTGAATAAATGTTAATATATATTAAATTGTTAAAAGCAATTATTATAAAATGAAATAGTAACCTCTATAGTTCAGTTAGTACTATTTTTCTTCGAATTTAAAAAAAATCGTTGTTCTAAGTTGATTAGAAGCTGAAACAATTTTTTTTTATTTAATCGCAGTGTCCTTAATTATTAAGAGCCTAAATTTGGAGAGAGTATAGATTAATTATATTTTCATGTCCTACATTAACATTAAGGTGAATTCAACTATTTAATTGCACAAAAGAAGATAGCGGCGATGCGTTCTATTACTCGGTCTAGCGAACGAGTGGGAAGAGCGAGGCTAAATAAAAAATTAAATCTCGGGTTGAAATAATGTTAATACAATACCTTCAATGCTCATGAATTTTCGCGCTACCACAAATTTAAAAAAGAATCATCTCGATAGGTTTATTGTTAACCAAGATATGGCAAATTTTTCTAGCTCCATCGATTTGAAGCCGTTCAAGCCTCGCTTTCTCCACTCGTTCGCTAGACCAAGTAATAGAACGCATCGCCGCTATCTTCTTTTTCGAAATTAAATAGTTGAATTCACCTTAATGTTAATGTAGGACATGAAAATATAGCTCTTAATGTATATTCTCGCCAAATTTCGGTACTTAATGTTAATAATTAACTGCGATTAAATAAAAAAAATATATCTCAGCTTCTAGTCAACTTAGAACAACGATTTCTTTTTAAAATTCGAAGAAAAATAGTACTAACTAAACTATAGAGGTTACTATTTCATTTTATAATAATGACCTATCTTAACAATTTAACAAATATTAACATTTTTTTAGTCATTTTTAAACAAATTAAATTTGAAAAATTAAATTCTCAGTAAATGCATATGTCAATACAACTATTTAGGTAAAAAAACAACTAATGATCGAAACCATACAACGCCTTTGAGCTTGGGAAAAATCAATTGAAAATAGCATCTTCTTAGATAACAAATTCAGCCAACGCCAAACCAATGAAGCTTTCGGGTTGAAATTTTTACCACATATTAAGGGTGTAAAAAGCCTCAAAAATCCTGAATTACAAGTGTCTGCGATGAAAATTGCATTAATAATTAGCAATTGAAAAAACGGCCATTTTCGACCATTTTTGAGCTCCTGCGCATAAATAAATTATCGGAATTTAATCGGACTTGTCTCATTTTATAGGCTTATTTAATACCTACTTTTTTTGTATAAACTTTTTTTCGCTATAAATAATAGTTTTTTTTACGCGAGTCAAAAAACCACTTTTCCATAACTTTAACCATTGTTTAAACAAAGTTTCCCAACTAGCTTCGAAATGATTTTTTGATATTTTGTTTATAACAGGTTTCCGAACAATATTCCGCAGATAAACTTCTAATAGTATTTTTTTCCCGAAACAGGCAGTTTCATGTCTATAATGACTGGACTAATTTTTTCGTGTTATTGGTAGAATGAACAATATATCAAGTTGATTGATATTTTTAGTACCTAATTGGAGAGCAAGAACCAGTTAGCCTTTAATTTGATCGCTAATGTTTTCAAGACTTTTACACAGACTGGTATACTGTCTTAACATTAAAACCGTATTTTTTTTCAGATCATTTTTGGGTACTTTTATAATCTTGGGTCTAACTGCAGCAGTTATGGACTTTCAGTCAAATGAAGGTAAGTTATGCAAAAAAAATATAACAAAATTATATCATAAATTCAGTATATTTTATTTATATCTATATTCTTTTCTAGAGAGTAAAGGCATATTTGTTGACACCTTCTCTGCCCTCAGGAACTTCCGTAGGGTTATGAGAGAAGACACTGGTAAGAAGGAATTGGACTTCATTCACGGGTTAAGAATTTTTAGCTCTTGCTCGGTTGTGATTGGTCATAGATATATAATGTACATAATGTATCCAGTAGTGAATCAGTTGGAGGAAATTGACGTAAGATCATTTTAAGTCGAAAATTAGCTACGTAATTTTTAAATCATACATCGTTTATTGTTATTATTATTAAGTTGGTATAGTTACTTTATATTATTTTAGTGGATCGTCCAATTATCCAGCACTCTAGTTCTTGGAAGCACCATCACCGTTGATTCCTTCTTCATGACCAGCGGCATGCTGGTCTCCATAGGTTTCTTCGAGCACGTCACAAAAACCGGCAGATTCAATCTGATCTTGTTCTATTTACACCGTTACATCCGCATTACCCTGCCTCTGTCAGTTGTGATATTATTCTACGTGTCAATGGTACAATTTTTGGGCACTGGGCCATTACAGGAATACGTGTACGTGAACCATCAGAAACCTTGCCAGGATTA